CTACCACGCACTGAATTACCACGCGTTGAGCTACCACGCATTGAACTAGTACGCGCTGCACTACCACGCGTAGAGTTACCACGTATTGAATTACTACGCGTTACACTACCACGCGTTGAACTACTACGAGTTGTACTACCACGCGTCGAATTACCACGCATAGTACTACCACTCATTGGATTACAACGCGTTGGACACCCATGCGTTGAATCACTACGCGTTGAATACCCACGCATTGAGTTATCACGCATAGTACTCTTACGCGTTGGAGTACCACGCATCAAATTACCACGTGTTCCATTACTCTGCATTGAACTACTATACCCTGTATTACCACGCATTGCACTTCCCACGTTACATCACCACTATATTCCATTAGCAATTCAAAATAACTTGCAACTCTCCCAAACCGTGTATACACAGTCGAAAGATTTTAAAACTCGTGTTTGATATTGGTTTTGTAGCTAACAAAGACGTCCGGTGACTGATCAAACAAGCGAAGAGAGACTATATCGTTTAGGATAACTCAAATATTGAACGACGGCGATAAAAAAAGAAGTACTAATTGATAAATTGAGACACGCGGCGTCGAAGCAAGCTAGATTATTAGCAATTCAATCGTGACACGAAACCCAGTCACCTAAAATCGCCGCAAAAGGAATGCAGTTCTCGGAACGGTCGGGCACGCGGATGACTCGTCGCGATTGAATCATCGTTAACACTAATTATTGAGGTCGCGGCTTGATAATTGCGCGGGGCTCTCGTTAAAGAGGCAATCAAAGTTTTCTCGCTTGGTCGGAGCGCCGCCACGGAGGCTGAAAGAATCGAACAGAGGGTTCTTGTTGAGCTAGCGGAATCCGGACGACCAGACAATAGGCGATTATTGCAAAAAGGTGTTGCAACTGCGGATCGAACGAATGGAAAACCCATTCGACGTGTCTTCCAATCAACATTATCTTGTTTCTCACTTTTTCTTTCCTGTTATTTTAAATCAAAGAAAATTTATTTCGTGTTATTTTATAGTGTTAATTTGAACAATCGCATTTTTAGGGAAATTGAACAATGAGGTGTGGGAACAATATCTGTACGTCGAGAATTTATTCGTGATCTTTCAATCACTTTTTTATTTTCTTTGAAAGTGACGAAATTAAATGTAAATGAAGGCATAGCTATTCTAAAGATATATATTTTCTCTGTAAATTTTTATATACATTTATTCTAAAGTTGCAGGAGTAGTATAAAATTGATAGTTTCAAAAGAGGTAGAAAAACAAATTAATAACAAAGCAGTAGATAAGCAAGGTTGGTTTTTAGACACTCTGTCGTCAATTTATAGATGTTGGTCGATTGTGCGGCAATTTAGGGTGGCGCACAATCGACCATAATCGGAGTTTTGGAGTCTCGGCAGGGAAACAGTAATTTTGAAATATGGCCTCTCATAGGGGGTGCTTTCGCAGATTGCCTAACCCTTCAAACTTTCCTCCTCCACCGTAATAATTCTCGAGAAGGGGTTGAAAACAGGGGTTAAGATACCGAACAGAAGATGAAACTGTTGTCGGGTAAACACGTATTATACATATGCAACAGATTTCCCAGAAGAATTTATCTCGAAACAAGGAACGATCGGTTGTAAGAGGAAATTAGACTTAACAAATGCCGACACTTATAAATTAATTGCCCTTTCATTAGAGCAGCGAGGGTAATTCGTTTAGATAATACGGATAAACGCTGTTCAATTCGGATAACGATGCAGTAATGTAACGTTCCGGGAATTTCGATTTCTAATAAACCTTGCCGGAGTAAGTTCATGCGAGTTTGCCGATCGTTTATCGATCCGATCGGCTTTAACAAGAGGTGCACGTAGATCGTGGCCCATGGAAACGTTACGCAACGCGACAAAGAGAGGCCGATCCGACAAACGGGGGATTTCACCTTGCCTTTTTCTCGGCACAATCGTCTCTGCCTCGCGTATCTCACCGGGATCAGCTAATTATTTCGCTAATTTGCATGAAAATCGATTCGAGGAGCTTTTTTCTACGAACATCCACGATCCTCTATGCTTCACGCCATTTTCTTCCTGCTTCTATTCCGTTTATGCCCGCTTATTCTTCCGATATTCACTATTTTTCTGACATAGACTGACTATGGGGTCAGAAATTTGGTAATTGAGGACATTTGAGATGGGGAGATTTGATCATCTGAGAGTTTGGAGATTTGGAACTTTGGTTAGGTTGATTTAGTTAGGTGAGACCTGTACATTTGTACAGATGATTCGTACATTTGTACTTTTTATTCACAAATGATTTGTACATTGGAGATTTGGAACTTTGGTTAGGTTGATTTAGTTAGGTGAGACCTGTACATTTGTACAGAAGATTTGTACACTTGTACTTTTCATCCACATATGATTTGCACATTAGTGATTTGGAACTTTGGTTAGGTTGATTTAGTTAGGTGAGACCTGTACATTTGTACAGAAGATTTGTACATTTTTACTTTTTACCTAGATATGATTTGCACATTGGAGACTTGGAACTTTGGTTAGGTTGATTTAGTTAGGTGTGACCTGTACATTTATACAGAAGATTTGTACATTTTTACTTTTTACCCAGATATGATTTGCACATTGAAGACTTGGAACTTTGGTTAGGTTGATTTAGTTAGGTGAGACCTGTACATTTGTACAGAAGATTTGTACATTTTTACTTTTTACCTAGATATGATTTGCACATTGGAGCCCTGGAAGTTTGGTTAGGTTGATTTAGTTAGGTGAGACCTGTACATTTGTACAGAAGATTTGTACATTTTTACTTTTTACCTAGATATGATTTGCACATTGGAGACTTGGAACTTTGGTTAGGTTGATTTAGTTAGGTGAGACCTGTACATTTCTACTGAAGATTTGTACATTTCTTCTTTTCATTCAGATATGATTTGCACATTGGAGCCCTGGAAGTTTGGTTAGGTTGATTTAGTTAGGTCAGACCTGTACATTTGAACAGAAGATTCGTACACTTGTACTTTTCATCCACATATGATTTGTACATTTAGAGACATGAAAGTGGTGGCTGAAGAAACTTGAAGATTCAGCAGCCTGTGACTTAGCATTCATAAAAATACAAGTCAAAAATTGCTCGGAAACGAACGTGAACACCGAACAAAAGAATTGACGAATCTTCCTCGATCTCCGAAATGATCGAATTCGTGGAACCCGGTATCTGCACGAGATCAGCTAATTATTTCGAGTGCAGTCTCGATCTGTAGCCGGATTAAAATCAATTGAATCACGTTTTTCGGTGGTTGCCAGGGAGAAACGAACGGCGAAAGAGACGCTGAAATACCGAGACTAATTGGGACCCTTAGAGAGTCGTTGTTAGAGAAAGGCGGAGAGAGACGGGGCGCACAAAGGACGATTCTCCTTCGTCACAGAGGTTGTCTCGAAGTCGCCAAAGCCCTGTTCGCGAATCCCGAAGCAGGAAGAACGCGATTCCATGCGAGATGGGAGCGGGAGAGTCCGTGCAAAATTTGAAATTCAGACGCGACGATCTTGGCCTTTTGTCTCGAGCGGATCTCTCCTTTCCGCAGCCGTTCACCTCCGACTCTACAAATCTGTCAATTGTCTCCAGACAAATCTCGAGGAATATAACCGATATATTCTGACACGAATCCCCCTCTAGCCTTCTCTCTGCCCGACGTTTCTCATTGTTTTGGCTTTGTTGGAACAGTCACGACACGAGCTACTTAATTCCGAAATTGAATTAGACTTCGGGGTGCCTTTGATAATCTTCCACAATTTGCGGGGACTTTCTGCTTTACGGGACAACGCTTCACTCTTCATTGGAACATGCAAACATGTATACACACCTCTGAAGCTTATTTTGTTTATAAATATTACCAAATGTGGTTACTTCTGTTTTAATACTATATGTCTCTACATATGTACATATATCGAAAACGTATCGTGAAAATCTTTTTCGAGTAGGATCTATTCTCGTCTCGCTGTCTTCCTGTCTCTTCATAATGCATCGATATCCACGTCCAACAACCGTGTTTAAATTCAAGGATATTCCACGAAGAGTATAATTTATCCTTCAGTTAGGGTACAAGACTATCGGACGCAATAATCGACTGCCTACAAAATCGTTCTCCAAGAAAACAGCAGACAAAAACGAAACGCGGTAGCAAATTTTCGCGGCAAAACGTCTCCAGAAAATGGAGTCTCTATCGAAAGGTGCTAGAGCAGCCCGAACACCGGGTAAACGGAGACTATTATCTTTATCCGGGGACGATATATCGCCGCTAATGAATACAAGCGGTTAGAGGAACAATTCGCTGCCGGAATCTTGCGGTCGTCGTACAAAAAGGTAATGAGGCCAGTTTGCGGCGGCGTTCCGACGGGAAAATCATGAATTGACCCGGTTGAAAAAAGTCGCGTTCGCTTTCCTGAGCTGTGTCCTGGCAAATCGGCAAAAACAGGACGTTGCGGTTGGCCAGGGCTCGCCGTTGCCCGCTCCCTTTAATCCACGACGAAACACGGTCTCGCGGTCTGAGACGCAGCGACGACGATGATCCTCGAGCGGAACACGCTCCTTGTTTCGGTTGCAGAGAACGGAGAACCGGCCAAGATCAAGTGCAACCTGAGGAAACACAAGCCGAACCGGAAGCCGAGGACACCTTTCACCACGCAACAATTGCTGGCGCTCGAGAAGAAGTTCACCGAAAGGCAATACCTCAGTGTCGCTGAGAGGGCGGAATTCTCCTCGTCGCTTCATCTCACCGAAACTCAGGTAAATTCTTTCATTCAACCACCTATAGCATTAGATTTTTAGTTTTTGGAAACAGAAATACTCTGTTACGAGTCTTCATAGGAGACCCCTTTTGTAAAATAGCGATATGGACCTTTTTATGTAATATCAAATCACCTTCATTTTTAGTACATTTTATTTAATAAACCTGATGAGTTACAATTTAAAATTAAGTGACTTGATGTGGAAGACTCAGAAGAGGCCCAGGGTAGCTCTCCTCAGAGTAACCACTTTTATAAAATACTAATATGGACAATTTGCTTAGTATCAACTCACCTTCATTTTTGATACATTATATTTAATAAACCTGATGAGTTACAATTTAGAATTAAGTGACTTGATGTGGAAGACTCTGCTGAATTTAAAGAAGAGGCCCAGAGTAGCTCTCCTCAGAGTGACCTCTTTTATAAAATACCAATATGGACAATTTGCTTAATATCAACTCACCTTCATTTTTGATACATTTTATTTAATAAACCTGATGAGTTACAATTTAGAATTAAGTGACTTGATGTGGAAGACTCTGCTGAATTTAAAGAAGAGGCCCAGAGTAGCACTCCTCAGAGTAACCTCTTTTATAAAATACTAATATGGACAATTTGCTTAATATCAACTCACCTTCATTTTTAGTACATTTTATTTAATAAACCTGATGAGTTACAATTTAGAATTAAGTGACTCGATATGAAAGTCTCTGCTGAATTTAAAGAAGAGGCCCAGAGTAGCTCTCCTCAGAGTAACCTCTTTTATAAAATACCAATATGGACAATTTGTTTAATATCAACTCACCTTCATTTTTGATACATTTTATTTAATAAACCTGATGAGTTACAATTAAGAATTAAGTGACTTGATATGAAAGACTCTGCTGAATTTAAAAAAGAGGCCCAGAGTAGCTCTCCTCAGAGTGACCACTTTTATAAAATACCAATATGGATCTTTTTACGTAATATCAAATCACCTTCATTTTTAGTACATTATATTTAATAAACCTGATCAGTTACAATTAATAATTAAGTGACTTGAATTACGTGACTCGAAAGACACTACTGAATTTAAAGAAGAGGCCCAGAGTAGCTCTCCTCAGAGTACCTATCTGACAATATACCAAACATCTGTAACGTTTTTATTTGAAATCAAAAAAAGTAACCATCTACCAAGAAAGACCTTATATAAAAAAAAGTAACCTTCTACCTAGAGTACACTGCATACGATCTAACAGTGATTTTATTACCGGTAATAATTTCCCTCGAGACAGACTGTAAGCAATTACAAATAATGTTAGAGTAGTTAATTGATTTTTATCGTTATCGTGAACTTTCGGAGTAAGAAAAATCAGATGAGAGTACATCGTAATAAAATGGCCTTTTCTCTATCCTCGTTTCTATTCCACGCCGTGCGGCTCGTTTGGATTAACTGGGTTACGATTTAAAGGCCAACGAGCTCGCCAGGGTGGTATTCGATAATTAAACTCTAGTCCCATCAACCAGTGTTTTATTCTAGACCTTTAAATTTCTCTTTATTGCTTTTATAGAGTACTGTTTAATAAACTTAATCGTTGGAGATCCTAAAAGTTAATGAACTATAACTGGCAATAAAAGAGGCAATATAAAGAATTATATGTTTGATACTCTTGTCAAAGTTAATTTAATCTTTGAACCTTTGCATTTTGCGGATGTTTTTCGTGGTTAATCCTCTTGTGAGGATAGATTTATCGGTAAATTACTGTGGAGTTAATGAAATGTAACTGTAATGAAATTAGATAATTAAATTTCTTCTGGGAACTAATTACCGTGTTTCAGATTTTACATTTCTTCTTTCTTGTGCCTTTTCAATAATTGATATTAGAAGAATCTCGTTTATAGGTGATTAAATAACAGTCTCATTTTCATCTTCGTGAAATTTATCTCCAAGTTAACGAACTGTAACTAACAATAAAGCAAGATCGAAATTTCTTTATGCTCCGAAACCGTTCGAAATTCTTCGTATCGTTCGTCAAATTTTTATCTCCTTTTTATTAATTGATATTAGAAGATTCTCGTTTATAGGTAATTAAATTACAATCTCATTTCCTCAACGATCTTTAAAACTCCTCTAATTTAACGAGCTGTAATCGCAGTAGCAATAAAATAATACGATTCTTTCTTCATACTTCGCGCTTCGAATTCTTCAGTTTTAATTCCTGAAACTTCGACGTTTACAGTACAAGATTCTCATGCGAAATCAAATAATTTGATCGTCACGGTTACAAGTCTAAATAATAAATTCCGGATAATTACAGTTAATTCCGGGCCGAGCCCGAATTCCAGGCTCCCTGTTTATCACGGCGCAATTTCTGGAAGCATCATTTACTTTCCATTAAATCTCCGACCAATCTGTCGTTTAGCACGCGTTGGTTCGTCTCTGGAATTACCATTTAGCATCGAGTGTTCTTTCGCGTTTGTTCTCGCCGACCAGTTTATGAGTCGAGGGGTTCTCTCGCTATAACAGAGCCGAGCAGAGGTTGCCAGATGCGGGGTAATTAGCGCGCTCAAGAGTGCAGTAGTTCCCGGACTCTCTGGCAAACAACACGACGATTTTATTAATAGGCTACAAATTGCACGAAATGCGCGATGACCGACCAATTACCTCTCGGAGTTCGGTCCACGAAAACACGACTAGAATTGCGAATGTCCGTCGGCGAGGTTCGTTTAACACCTTCATTGTCCCCCGGAAGACTTATAGACTCTTGACAAATTCGTTCTATTGAATCGTTCAAACGAGAAGTGGCCTGTATTTTTGGAAGAATCGATGAGCTTGCGAAATAGAACGGGAAGTTGAATTTTTTATTATCTATGAAATAATTGGTTTCGTGACGGGAGAAAATTAGCGTAAAACTTAGAAGAGTTCCATTTTGAATTTCATAATTTGTTGCTAAAATAAGTTCTATCACACGTAAATTGCGGAATTAGCATTTTCCGAGGAATATTTCTTACGATACAGTAAACAAAAGTAGGATAAAAAGTAATTACGTGCAAATTCACGTACCGAAGTCACGAACACGATAGCAACCGTCAGTGTTAAGATTCGTATCTATCGCTATCGCGTAGACATCTCAAGAATTCTCGTTCCGAGTACTGCAGTCTCTAACATTTTAAAAAACACTTTTTACCCAGCATGTTGCAACACGAAACGTGTAAATAAATTCTGCGAACAATTTTCCCGTTGAATTATTCGACAATAAAATTCGCTACCGTGGTGAATAGGGAATTCCGACAGTAGCAGAATTTAATAAAAAATACAGATAGCTAATTCGAATAGCGGGAAAGCGCGGTAGAGGAAAAAATTGCCACTCGAAAGATTTGTAGCATTATTGAAACTTTGACCAGCGAGACGAAACAGATAATCTCGTTTCTCGTGGCGAGATCAGTTGCAGTCGTTTCTCGAAAATCAGCGGAACGTTCGAAAACCGCAAGCAAACCTCAGCGAACGATCCGTCAAGGTACACCGAGTTAACCAGCGAGTAACAAATATCCAACATTTGTGTTTCATTGTTGCAGGTGAAGATCTGGTTTCAAAATCGACGCGCGAAAGCGAAACGGATGCAGGAAGCGGAGATCGAGAAATTGAGGATGTCGGCGGTCAGGCAACACCACACGGCACTGTACGGTTCTCATCCGGGACTATTGGCCCCGGCCAGCCTCTATCCCGTTGGAATGCTGTCTCATCCCGGTTTAACACCGCATCACCCGATCTCTCAACACCCGTCCAGAGAATGAAGGCGACCGGAACACACGGAGACCCTCCAAGATCGGTAGCGAACAAACGATTTCCTTTTGGAATTATTACTGCACCGGAAAATCGATTCCTCACGTGCAAATGTGATTCCCCGAATCACCGAGTGATCGAAGGTTCGAAATGTGGAGTATAAAAATAAGAATTAATGGGAAAGTTGATCGGAGTGAAATTTGTGGGAGATCGAAGCAAATCAGAGATGGAAATGTGGATTTGAAGAGAACTGAGATTTTGAGAAATCGGAGATTATTTCTGGATGAGCGTTCACGAAGCGGTAGCCAGATCGAAGCAGTGTTTGGATATCAAATTTGATGAAAGTACAGACCAGAAAAAAATAAAAAATCGCAACCAGAATTGGACCAAAGGAAAGTCTAACCAAAGGATCAGACAATCGCAACGTGAATTTTATTTTCGTGAGCTTCATGGACACTCGAAGCGAATTCGTCCGATTGAGGACAAGAGAAAATAAAACGGATTTCCATAGAGAAGCCGGAATGTATCTGTGCCAATTTTAGACGAGTCCTTTTAGAACCGTCTTTGTACATAGTCTGTAAATATCGTCGTTCTCGAGCTGAAGGTAATTCTGTAAATACGATGTCCGTAGATTAACGCGAGGGGACGGTGGATCGAAACCGCCGAGCCTTTTTCCAATTTTGTATAAATGTAAAACCGTCGAGAAGAGTAGCAGAGTTTATTTAATAAATCACAGTATAGAAGCACAACGAACCTGTTGTTTCTAACCGTTCATTCCCAGTTGGAGTCCTCGTTAACGAAGCACATTCTCAGATAAGATTTACGAACTTCGGCCGTCGTATAGATGTCGCCGAGTTTTGATTTTCTGGTGGATTCAGTCGATTAAAGCTGGAGGACTAAAATTGTCTGCTATCGGACACGAAATCTTTCTCGGTTGTGTCCACAGGAACTATAATATTTAGCTATCAGACTAACTATGTGGGCAACTATTCTATCTATGTGACTATACTTACTATACAACCATGACTATTTAACTACGTGACTGTAATTACCTAATTGTTTAACCATCTGTCTACCTGTCCAATTATCTAACTATCCAATCTTGCGAATTTTACCGACTAGGACCCTGTAACCTCATAGTTCACCTTCTTATTACCATAGGTACATAGAAAAAATCTTGAGGCCATACGTAACGTTAATTAGCATTAAACAGGTGGATGAACAACGCAATCGTTTACTAATTGAAAAGTTTGTCTGACACAACTGTTCTTGCGTTTAACACACGAGGTCCCACACAAAACGTGTTCTATCCGACTAATTATCATTTAAATACGACACGTTTATTTCTACCGATCGCCGCGTTAAATCAATTATTGCAATTAATAATTCTCGTTACTATATAAATCGTACGTAAGTATACGTCGGAAGAGTTAACGAGTGATAATTCACCATAATGTCAACGTAATGAGCGATTTATCGCGCTCAGCGATACCAAGCTGAAAAGTTACACGAATATTTATAGAATTTGATAAACAACCCATCCAGGATTTTCATTTATCGCTTAAGCAACGGGGAAAAGGGTCGTTTAGGACGTTGAAAAGCATAAGCGGAGAGTCGATTACGAGTAATTTTTTATTTGTACCGGTTGAAAGAGACTCTGTGGGAAATAGCAGCTCAATCAATTCTTCTTTCATTCGTCAGCAAATCAAACCTATTCACGGGATGGTTTATTCGAGCAAACACAAGCGATGACGTAATTCCGACAGACTTTCTTCGACCTCCTCTAACAAGTTCGGCAATCATCGGCTACTAATCAACGACAATCTTACCAATTCACGCCGGGCTTCCTTTACGTCTTCGACCGTGAGTCATATTTCACGAAATCATCCTTCGGTGTTTCCAGCCTTCTCGGAAAGCTTTCTTGCATTTACCGGTTATCGATTGGTAACCTTCTTTTTTTGCTACCGCGAAAATAAATACTGGTACGAGTAATGACCTTTGTACGAACGATTCGCCGTATCGATTCGGCCATTCTAGCGATGGAGTTTAAAATAGGAGACGTTGCTATTTTTTCTAGCAAGGACTCGGTTTATCGAATTTATTGGAAATTTACTTGTGACACTTCTTTTTGAATAATGTGTATAGAGTAGTGCTCTCAGCATCCAGTGAAGCTTAACGAAGCGACGGAAGTATTTAATCGTTCCATTAGAGACAGTTTAGCATCGAGAAGGGTGAGTTAGGGTGCCGTATAGGGAAGCTATTGTAGGGTGAAAGATGCTGGTCCCGTATTAGAATTGCTTTCACAAGCTGTTCATTTTATTTTCGTTTAAAAGAATTTCTTGAACGTATAGCAAATGCATTCACGTAGCAATTAATTAGATAAGATTTTAATTGACCCTCGTTGAAACATTCGAAAATTCACCCCATTCATTTTCCAAAGGAATGAAATTAAAAAAATCAGTGAAAACATATATAAACTTTTAAGATTCAATTACTCGTTATCTAAAGAGATGTTTATCGTCTGTTCCTTCGCTAAATTCTGAACGACGATCATGAATCAACCTTCCTCCACCTAGCTATTCAGTCCGCAGCGTTCAAATGACCGAAATCCGTCATCAATCATACTAATGACCGTGACAATCGCGCTAGGATCACAAAGCGGTTGGCAATGTCTGACTACCGTCGTAAAGAGATAGCTAATTAGTCGAACGTATCTCGTGCACCTGTAACGATGGAAATCGTACAAAATTCTCGTCCGCGTTATCGATCGAGCGTGTAGGCCGATTTTTCTCGTTCACCGGGCCAAAGATAATGGCGGCATTAACGTGAACGAATGATGCGCGTCGAAAGGGTCGCACAGAGTTGGGCCTCTAACAAGCGAGCCGGTAGCTTAGGCGATATCATCTGATCGATGTTATCTCGCTACATGAAACAGTGAGCGAAACAGGTAAGCGGACGAGCTCTGGTGGCCAGCGACTAATTACGCGATTAAAATTCTGGCGTATCGAGCGGAAACCTAGAGACGGCCAGCTGGAAACGGCCAGGGAATCTTGGATTTGATAAGGTACACTCGGCAGTACAACCTTTTTTTTTAAATTGACATTCGAGAGTTTTTCATTCTCGGTTTATAGTCAGTTTTCAGTTTTTTAATTTTGTGACTTCTCAAGATTTGAAGTTCTCAAATTCTCAAATTTTCTAATTTTGCAGCTTTTAAATTTGTAAGTTTTCAAGTTCCCAGCTGGTGAAATTTCAAAATTTTCAGAAGTTCAAACTTGCAAATTTGCAAATCTCTCAAAAGTCTCTTTTGCAAATTCTCAAATTTCCAAGTACCAAATTTGTAAGTTAGTGAATCTACATTTGTAAATTCCCGTGTCCAAAATGTCTAGATCGCGAATTCCCACTTCGCTGAATCCCCAGACTTCCATAAGGCTTGGTAACCATATTCTCTGAAAGGAATATTTGCTCTTGACTGTACTACAATAGGCACTCTTCGGTAAAAATAATTACTAAAGATTCTTGTGTACGATTTCCATTTTTCTTGTCACTTAGTTACATCTTGTGTTGTACAAATATTTCATATGTATCATATATTACTTAACTACAATGTAACCATATATTACAAATTTTCGTTACGCGAGATGCTTAGATTAATTTATATCCAACATAAAATATAGACACGCCAGTACATAAACTCTATTTAAACCGACTGAAGTCTATAGAAGTGAAGACAAAAATTTAAAAGAGTTCAAGACTTAATAAAATCCGAGGAGTTCGAAAGTGTTGAAAACTTCACCGTCACCTGACGCTAAGAATACGGCGTTTTTGAAAGGATCCGAAATCAGTTGGCGAGGATGCAGAACAGGGAAGTTGAGGAGTCACGAGTCCGAGACAGGAGGGTACGATGGCAATCTTAGGGCGAACTCCCCATCCTTTCGGGCACCTTCCCGTGGCACTCTGTTGTCCGCGATTACGTCGCGACGATTACGTGGTAGCCGAGAATGGCGTCTCTGTGCGTACATGTCGCGGGAATAAATTAGCCGTGGCAATTAGTTTCGGAATCGACCCGCCCCGGGCGGCCGGCGCC